CAATAATTTTTGAAATTTATTTGTTTAGCTTTATGGTGCTTGATAACTGAAGTATATGGGTCTGTAGTGATGTGGGCATTATGGAACTTTATGATGTTAGTTTTAGGTTGGGTTCTACGAGCTTCCTCCTCTTTTCGGATTTATTTTAGTTATGTGATTATATTTGTTATTAAAATTATTTAATGGGTGCATCTCTCGAGACCGCTGTACATGTTTTTTGGTTTAAGATTGTGATTCTCCTACTTTTCATTGTTGACATGGCACATGGCAACGAAGTAATTTGTGTTAAATTCGTCAATTTAGTATACTTGTTAAATTATATTTTATTTAAAATTTTATAAGTTGAATTTATTAAATTTTCGCCCCCTTTCATATAATTTTCTGAGTCCGCCACTGGTGTAGAGGAAGATGGGTACAGGGTTGTATGGAGAAAAGAAAAATTAGATTTTTGTTATCCTATCATATCACTTTCTAACCCAAGCCCTCATTTGAGATAAGTTATCAGACTTTAGGTACGATAATAAAAGCTAATCACAAAACTTTATCATATCTTATTGACATATCAAAGTACCAAACAACTGATAAATGCAGGATAGGATAAATTATCCTATCCTATTATCCTTGTCAAGTGCGCCAAGGAAAATGCTTTTGAGTGATAATCTTCTTACATTAAGATGGCATAACTGGCAACAATATCGATTATAGCAATGCCCCTTGAGTCTTATGTACATTTTTCATTTTTACAATTAAAATATTTATAATTGGTATTTTATTATCTTTTATAACATGTGGGTCCGTTAATCTTGCATCTTAAATTGGCATCTTTACCATGAACAAAGGTAGCAGGATGCACACGTATCACACTTTATCTGATTTTGAAGATAACAAACAAGTAGAGTTAAGTGATTTAATAATTTATTTAGTTTTTTAACATTTATTGCAAGATTTAATATGTGATGAATTATGAAGAAGTGAATATAACAAAATTATCATGAAATTGTGAAGATCAAAGTTATAGGAAAAAATCTTAATTTTCATGTGATAGTTGGATATGTGAATCCTTATCATGTCTTGAGTTACATTATCTTAAAGTTTTAGAAGCTAATGAAGGAAGATAAAAAAAAAGTTTTATTTTTTATCTAAATAAATTTTTAAGATTTGATTTTTGACTTTAAAAAAATTATTCATTTCAAAATTTAAATTTCTTTTTGAAAAGATTCAATCCTGTTTTATTTAATTTTGGAAAGTTATTTTTCAAAAAATTATTTGAAATTTTGATTCTATTTTTGAAAAGAAAATTTCAAATATTTTCTAACAATTTATGATAACCTTGAAAAACACATTTAGTGAAAAAATTTATAGAGTTTTCCTAGTAATTGATTTTGAATAAAAAAAAGTCTATAAAAAGCATATTATGAGATTTTCTTCATTGTGAGCGTCTATGTTGCACTGACACTGACACGGGACACGAGATACGACACGTCACGACTCTCCGACACTTTAATTCTAAAAGATGTTAAATTTCGACACGTTAGGACACGTTTTGACATTATATAATATTTTTAATTTATGTAGTGTATATTATATTTAGTATTCAATGATTTAACAAAAAAATAAATCTAAATTTATAATACCCATCAATTTTACAAAGGAACATAATATATCCCAAATGTTTATATTAAACTCAATAAAATTGTAATCGTAATCTTAATCTAACGAATCTAATAGTTGAAACTCAAAATGCAACACAATGTAACATTTGAACCTTTTTTGAGTCTCTGCAACAAGTATTAGAGTGTCGATAAGTGTCGGAGTGTCGGACACGACACGTTAGGATTTTTGAAGTGCCGATACTTCACAAGTGAGCGTTCAAGAAAAAAAAAACATATTAAATATATTGTGAGTTTTCTTCTGAAGACACATTCAAGATAATTTGACAACCAAGACATAAATAGATCCATTAAGCCCACCTCTTAGGTTTGATTTGTACCTTATTGATTAGAAGCATGCAAGGTAACTCTGAAATTGTTCTTGTTTAGTTATTGTCAAAGTTGGAAATATAAGAGCAATTATCTAGACCTAGTGATAATTGGAGACTTGTACTTTTTACTTGAAGTTAAGCTGAAAGTGTGTTTTGCAATTGACAATGATTTAGAAATTGGGACGCAATTTACTTAGGTAGACTGGGGTGGTTAAATCTATAGGTAGATTTGGGTGATTTCTTCTAATAGGTTTTGTTCTTGTACTTTGAAATGAGCTTGGCTTATTATAATGGATTTTTTTTTGGTAAGCCACTTATTATAATGGATTTGTATCTCAATTAGATTGAGATATCATGAATTGAGATCATGTTATGTCTTTACTATTTTTTATTAATTAAAATTATAATTGAAAATATTGAACTGATTTAAATCTAAAAGGTTTATGGGTTCGCTTTTTCTACAGTTACTGCAGATAAGTTATCTGCAGTAAGCCCAATACGACGTCGTTTTGGGGCGGAAATCATGGTGTTTTTGTAATTTGAATTTATTTTAGGTTTATAATAGTCTTTATACATAATTTTTTAAGATTTCAATACCAAAACGACGTCGTTTTGGGAATAAATGCAGATAACTTATCTGCATTAACTGCAAAAATATTTTCCCCAAGGTTTATACAATTAAATTCACATCTGCGACCAAGCATAGGAGTTTCGCTATTGAATGCTTTGCTCAAACTCAAAATCATTCAAGCCAAAGACTCGTCTATCTCGCGATGGATTTCCTGCCCGTGGTAATTGTGATTCAGATGAGAATGAGTCATTTCATGTATTAGTTACATGACCATGTCATGTGGGAGGATCTTAATCATTCATGGGCAAATCAATAGTCATGATCTTGTCTTTCATTATTTAATATATATTTTTCTCTCATTCCGTATCACCATTGATTTGCCAATAAAAGGTTATGATCTTCCAATTGATATGGTCATATTAACTTACACATGAGATGATCGACTCATGATTTCGATTCAATTCTTATAAGGCGATATGTAATTGCACTTTATGTTCTCTACGTGGTTGATAATTTGGCTTTGCATGGGTGTAATTTATATTCATCTAATTTTTTGTCTAAAAAAATTTATCTACCCCTTCCCAGAAGAAAGCTTTAGATGAATGGTTTGAATATATTTTTTAAATGTTAATGTTTCTTGTATTGTAAGATAAACTATCTCATACACCTAAAAGTATATGGTTTAATATAAAGGATTAATCCCTATTTTTTTAATAATAAAATTATCTTGGGTGGTCAAGATTTAATCTTGGGTATTTAAGATGTGGGCTTACCTAATAACCATTTTCAATCGAGGGTGAGAAATATTTTTTATGGTCAAAGACCGCCTAATAACTTGGTGTTCCTTCTCACAACATCAATCTTTTCCTTCCCTTTTTATCCTTGTTATTTTTCCTCTTTGCTATTTTTACCCTCTCATTTACATCAAGGGACCACCCAAAAAATGATGTTCTGGAGCATAATAAATGCTTTCCTTGAGAGTGACGAGTTTTGGTTTTAGAAAATACAAGCTTGTTTGAATTGTGTTTTCAAATTATGATTTTAAGGTTTGATAAGGTCTATTTTATAAAAATAGTTCTAAAATTTATAACTATTTTTTAGTTTTTAGAATCAAATTTAGAGAACATATTTGAGTTGTTTTTGTTTTGTGTTTTAACTTTGAACTTAAAAAAAAAAAACACAAAACACAGACCAATTTTCAAAGTTAGACTACCTTACCTTGCACATATAATATGAAAAAAATATGTTTTTTCTAAAGAAAAAATATTTGTCAGTGACATAAATTTATGTCAATTTAGATGAAATGACGTTTTTTTGAATCTTTGTTGCATAATAAGTGATTTTTTTACCTTATCTCTCGTCCATTTTCTCTTTCTAATTTTGCGAAAGACATAAAATGTAAAAAATCATCAGATATATGTCAAAACGATGTCATTTTATTTAAAATGACACAAAATTATGTTATTCAAAATGACAAATACTTTTTCTATTTTCTAATATATAATTAGTAAAAAATCTTACTGAAAGTAATATAATTTGCTTAACTTGATAATATATTATAAATCATTCTTTTAATTTTTGTTTTATATTTTAAAATTTTTATGACTTAATCATGTTTAACTTTTTATATTGGGAGTAATATTTTTTATGTTATAGGAAATAATTTTATTTCCTATACATACATAAAAATATATAGGGCTCATTTTTTTTTTTTCTCTTCTCTTCACAGCCCCCATACTTTTATATATGTGTAAAAAATAAAATTATCTACTACAAAATAAGAAACAATGATTAATCCCCATTTTAAATATGAAACTGATTTAATCTTAACCTGATTATAAGTAAAATCAAAATAAAAAGTTATATTGATCTCATTTCAGTATTTCACGTAAAAGAAGCCAAGTTTCTACAACCCAGTTTGTGATATTATTTATGCCACGTAAGGTAAGAAAATAATTTCCCAAAAACAAAACATTACAGTATCGGAAAAGATAAGACGGCGTTTGTCTCGTTGAATTTGATTAGATTTTTTTATTTACAGGGAAGGATATCGTGACAACTAAGTTGTGTTACTACCAAGTGACTACCAATCAATCTCACCGTTAGATCGATTATGTTGATTCAACGGTTATATTTATTTTCATTTTTGTATGATCATGATTTCCCATATTTAAAGTGAAAGCATTAAATATGAGAAATCATAACCATACAAAGGTAAAAATAAATATAAAGTATTAAATTTGGAGAATTATGACCATACAAAGATAGAAATAAATATAACCGTTGGATCAATATAATCAATCTAACGGTAAAATTAATTGGTAGTCACTTGGTAGTAACACAAATTGAGAATATCCTTCCCCATTTATAAATTATTATAATCTTATTAATGATTCGAGGAATTTATGGATTTTGGCGGTTAGGGTTTAGTTTAGTATTTAAAAGAGTGAGAAAAGAAAGGCATGAAACCATGTTGCGTTGCTAGTGAAGTAACGTTAGCTTCAGAATTTCGGGCGTAGTCATCGCACTGTATCGGCCTTACCGTAAACCCTTCTCTTTTGCCTCTCTGCGATTCTCTATTTCCTCTTGTTCTTTTGTTTCCGTTTTGTTCCTGCATTCGTTAGGTTTCATGTTGTGTCACTGCTTGATTGCTGTCTCAATCAGGTATTGGGGTGTTGCGATTACGGCATTGTCTCTGAATCGAATATTTTTTTATTTTTTATTTTTTGTAATTTCGTGTCTGAATTGGGGTTTGGTCTGATGCCAATGTACTTTTGTTCACTTCAAGGTTTTTTTTAACCTACGGAGTAGTTCTTGGGTTGGTAACTCTTATTCTGTTATTACTGTTTGATCTGATTGCTGAGAATACCCAACATTTGATTATTATAAGGTTCGTTTACCTATTTTTTCCTTTCTGAATATGCAATGCAAAGATTGAAGAGGAGGCTGTTTGGGCACTCGTGTGTCACTTCAGATTATAGTGTTCCGATTTTATAAGAAACAATTGGTAAAAGCGTGCTGATGACTGCTTTTGCAGTAGTATTATAGTGTTCCAACTTTGAAGCCACATACACACATTATGATTGAACTATCAAAGAACTTATGCAGGATGGATGGTAGTTCAGACAACATTTAGTCATATTGGATAAATTGACTGTAGTGTAAATGATTGGTGATTGTGTGATACATTTATATTAGATCTTAATTCCTTCCACCAATGACATGCTTTTGTTCACTTTGTCCATTGAGTCTTGATGAACTCCGTATGAATTTTAACAGGGAGGAACAACACTCTTTCAACTCTATTGAAATCAATCCCTAAAATTGTGTTCTAATTTATAGTTACAATCTGTGCTTACTGTGTGATATTATATATAACTTGAAAAAGGTAATGCTGTTGCTCTCAGCATTTTGGTTCCACTCTCGATTTATTTGAACTTTTAAATGATGATGCCATGATGCAAATTGTTGGATTCATATTGTTCTGAAGATTTGATTATTTTATTTTATTGTTTTGTAAGGCAGCTGACTGACTGCACTCAAGATATATATCTGCTTGTGGAATGTACAGAAGTTGTGAGGGATCAACAAAGAACTTAAGAGAGTTCAACTGAGAGCTGCAGGGATGGGTCATAGGGGTGTTCGTCATCAAGTCATGTCCATTGATCAGCATGATGAATATGGAAGGAAACTTTCTTCCAGTATTCCTAAGGAAGATGAAGAAAAAATCTTTAAAACTGAACCTATCTTCATGCCAACATTTAAGAAAAGAAAGCGCCTCAGCCTTGATCGTCTTAGAGAGATTAAAGCAGGGTTATGTGGGAGACAAAGTAGTAGCAAGCTTAAGACAATGAAGCAGGAAAGCAGAGAAATATGGTCAGCTGAGAGGTAAATAGTGTGTGATATCCTTTCTGTTGTTACTGACTTCTATCATGTATTAAGCTGAGACAATTATGTAATGTAGGTATAAGTTGGCTGAGCAAAGCATGTGGAATATCTTAAAAGATGAAGGTGCAACTTTTGAAAACCCAATAACCCTACCTGCACTAAGAATGGCTGCCCGTAAGCACATTGGTGATGCTGGACTATTAGACCACTTACTGGAGCACATTGATGGTAAAGTGACACCTGGAGGAACTGAGCGGTTCAAACGATGGTTCAACACCGAAGGAATCATGGAGTATTGGTTGGAGAGTGCTAATTTGGAAAAGGTCCACCAGGAGGCTGCCGTGCAGGACCCTTGCTGGATACCACCACCATCTACATTTAGGGCAGGCTGTGTCCCTTCTCAGAATACTGATTCTATTGGTGAACTGAAAATGCTTCAAATAGAAATGGCCCAAATGAAGAAGTATTGAACTTGGAAACTAAAGTTTCATAAATAATTTTGTATGGTTACTATTATATGTTCACTATTAATAAGTTAATTTGCGTAACAGAGATATGCAAGAGCTCAGTGCCAAGAAGCAAAAGAAAAGCGAAATGTGTCTGATGGAGGTGAAGGTTGAATAATTTAATAATTCAATGGTTTTCTGTCTCGAGTAGCACTGTATTAATGATTTATGTTGAGATTTATTGGCAGGGGACACAGAAAAATTTTGGCAAGTGGAAAGCTATGACTGAGCGCCGTGTAACTGAGATCATGACTTCTTTGAAGGGGATACAGGTATCTAAGAAGTATATTGCCACACTTTTTACCCATTAAGAAATGGGATTCATGTTATGTGGAATGTGTTTTCTTTTAGTTGGTTAATTTGTCAACAAATGTGATCTCCTGCTTACTGTAGTTTTATATATTGACAGGGCATGTATGATGGCATGTTGATTTGGAAAACCAAAATTGAGCAACAACTAGTGGAAATAACAAATAAATTGAGTGATCTACAAAGATCGAGTGAACACACCAATTTTAGTCCTCCTTCGGTAAGATGGGAAGATTGGCTAGAAAGCACCAACCTAGACAATATTCAGGGAGACGAATTTGCACCTTGGTTTGGGAATCCTGAGCTACTTAATGTTCCACAAGCGGTTGTACTTCAAGATCCCAACTCAACCCTACCAACTCTGCCGCCCAGTGAAGAACTGACAGACATGAAGAGGTAATACGAGTTGAATTTTTTAAAATCCCTTCCCTACTCGCTTTCAGGGAACAAAAGAGAACAAGGGAGGAAAAAAAAAATGCTGCTTCTGTTCTTTCAGTATCCCTCATTTTTTTTATTTCATGATTATAGCGACTTGGTGGAGTTAGTACCTAAGAAGCTAGAGGAACATCAACCTAATGTGACCCCTGATTCTTCTACGATTGTCAATTCAATATCAGGCATTGACAACTCATTGGTATTGTTTCAGGTGATGTCAATAGTATGTGCATGCCTTGTATATAATATTTTTTGAATTTTTATATTTTTCAGCTTAATGTCTTTTGTGTAATATTATCTCACAGGAAATGTTTATGGATTTATTTACATGGAAGGATAAAATGGAGCAGCAGTTACTGCAGGTATCAAATACTGTATATGGTATGCTGGCAATGAAGTAGACTCTACTTCGTAGCATCAAGCCTTAATATTAGGATTCTAACCATCCTCTCTCGCGGATTTGTTTTCCTTTCTTACTCTTAAGAGGTTAGGGTTTAGATATTATACAGCATTAACATACTAATCCTTAAATACTTTTCCAACCACTCAAGTTAATAGAAGCCGCATCTGAGTCTCACCCACAGAATGGGATGCAAGTTGTTGATATACTTCACTGGCCTTTTACAGTAAAGTAGGATTGTTATTTTAAGTGGCAGTTTATTAGTTTTGTTTTATGATAGGACTTATTTAACTTATTAGCTAGAGTGACTTCTGAAAATATGTATTTAACCTTATTATTTGGGGGATAAGTTGCTATTTTTTTTTATATATATATATACAATTTCTAATTAGTGGTATAAATGGTCCAGGCAACATATCAGGGGCCTACAGCCTGGCCCTATGATGCACGGACACTGACATGTGATACGACATGATAAGCCGACACGTTAATTTTAAAAAATGACATATTTCGACACGTTGGGACACGTTTTGATATTAAATAATATTTTTATACATATAATATAATTTATATTTAATAGATATAACAGTCTATAATATATCATATAACCAGGCAAAAAAATTAAAATATTACGCTTTTAATAATTAATTACAAATAGGTAGCAGTTTGGAAACTATATTCAAATTTACTGCACTCATTCACGCCCAAATTAGGCGTGACTATTCACGCCCAAATTAGGCATGACTCCCAAGGTATTCACGCCTAATTTAGGCATGAATCATGTGGTGTTGACACGTGGCAAAAAAAAAGTCAACTTACGAACCGTAAAACTTTAAAAAGTCATAACTTTTGACTCGGGTATCTGAATGAGGTAATTCTTTTTTTGATTTCACATAACTTTTCGAGATCTACGCAATGACATCTCATTTGATATATTTTATCTCTCACAAACACAATTCAAATTTGTAATAATTATATTATATAGTGTATTACCAAAAAAAAAAATTAAAAATTATTATTAATAAGAAAAAGAAAATAAAGATTTAATTTGTGATTTAAACTCAAAAATCAATTTGAAAATCTGTATTAATAAAGAAAATAATTAAATAAATATTCTAAACACTTGTTTTTTTAATAAATAATTACGAATAAGTTGTCGTTTTGAACCTAATTACAAATATATTGCACTCATTCACGCCCAATAATGGTACTATAAAATTAAATTCAAAAATCAAAATTCAAATAATCTCCAATAAGTTGATTGCATTTTGTATTTAATAGGAGTTATTGTGTTTCGTATTTAATAGGAGTTGATTGCGTTGTAATTTTATGAGTTGGTTACAGATTGTCTCCAATTCAAATAAATTTGCTAGTGGTTATTTGAATTTTGAATTTAATGTTATAGGAGTTGATTGCGTTTTGTATTTAATAGGAGCTGATTGCGTTTGTATTTAATAGGAAATTTGATGTCATCTTATTTATAGATGAGTTAATCCACTTTGGTGCCATCTTTACAGTATCATTGTTGTAAATTTGAATTGTGTTTGTGAGAGATAAAATATATCAAATGAGATGTCATTGCGTAGATCTCAAAAAGTTACGTGGAATCAAAAAAATAATTACCTCATTCGGATACTCGAGTCAAAAGTTATAGCCTTATAAAGTTTTACGGTTAAACTATTAATTTTTTGTGCCACGTGTCAACACCAGACGATTCACGCCTAATTTAGACGTGAATGCCTTGGGAGTCACGCCTAACTTAGGCGTGAATAGTCACACCTAATTTGGGCGTGAATGACTGCAATAAATTCGAATATAATTTCCAAACTGCTACCTATTCGTAATTAATTATTAAAAGTGTAATATTTTAATTTTTTTGCCCATATAACCAATCAAATATTTAAATTTCATAACATAAATATAAAGAAAATAATAAAACATTATATATTCAATCAAATATTCTTATAATTTTTATCTTTTGATTTTTGATCCAATCTTTATATTTTCACTTATTTACTAAAACGGTGCATGTTATTCTATTCTGCAACTTTTTTTTTTTTTTTTTTTGTACAGACCATCTTTTTTTACAGCACAACAACCTTTTTGTGGAAAACAACAATATTATTTATCATTTTAACCTTTTGTCGGTACAGACCATTTTTTTTACGGTGCATGTAACACTCCGTATATATCCAGTAATGTTATCATGTTATCGTATTAAGCTGTGCTTAATTAAAATTGCATAATATCTTTTTCTTTTCAATTATGATGTCATTAACCATTACCAACTTGATTACTTAACCATTTTCAAAACATCGCCTGTATGTATATTGCAATAAACAGCAAACTGAAATACCTCATTAATTAAAAATACAAGTATGAGTCTGTAGTCACGGAACTACAAAACGTAGACCGGACCATCTAACAGTTTATACAACTCCAACTAAGAGTACTAACCACAAAGTGGCATGGACAAACTCCATCCTCACCCAAATAAAGCAACAAAGCCCAACATCAGTTTCAACAACAGCAACATAAGCAGAAAACATAAACAGCATCCAAATCCAGCATTCACACAGGTCAGCATAACTAACAGCAATAATCATCAACTAAGCTCTGGCCTCCTGCCGACAGAGACATCAGTCCCCATACTACCTGAACCTGAAATAAGCATTCCCCAAACGTGGGGTAAGATCTCTAAACAAGAAATCTCAGTAAGACAAGGGGTCCTCAAGGATCTTCCACCCCAAGCTCACTTACATGTGCAATATAAGTTCAAAAGCAGTTTATCATCATCAGTTCTAAAATAGTGCAATGCAGCAGATAATCATGTCATGTGTGTCAATTCTATTCTACTGGCCAGAGAAATGCAGGATTTATATACGCCAAATACCCACACATAGTGCAAGACGCCACTTGCATCCACCCCGGATCACCGTCTTGTATGACGCCACATACTCAGACTTACCGTCAAGATGGAACAACACGTGCATATTAAAAGCCATTACACATAAAGCTCAACAATATTTCAAATATCCAAAGCATGTAACACAGTATGCATATAACCATACCCCCATGGGACATGGTGGAACCATAACATAGCTAAACCGGGGACACGAAAGCTTACCTTGTAAGCTAGCTATCCAAACCAAGAGCCCACACAGCTCAAGGCCCACAAACAGCACAATCACAATCTGCTATACCATAATTACTCATCAATAATCATAGCTCAGATTATATGAAGTGATTAAGTCTTTCCTACTCATTTTAACTCATTACATGCTGTTTCTGTAGGAAGTATTCGAATACTTCACGAGTAGTATTCGAATACTCCAGCTCCCCAGAAAGTATTCAATTACTTTCATTAAAGTATTCGAATACTACCAAGTATCCGAATACTTTTTCCCCCAGTATCCGAATACCCAAGTATCTGAATACTAAACCTTACTGTATTCGAATACTCTCCAGTATTCGAATACTTCTTCAAAGGTATCCGAATACTTTTCTTCTCAGAAAAGTATTCCAATACTCCTGCCATGAGTATTCGACACCAGATAAAAACTACCATTGCAACTCTTTACCAAATACTCTAAGATTTTACTATGTTAAACTAGACATCTCAAGCTTTCCAACGACATATCTTATGTCTTAATCGGAGTTGTATAACTCCGGTTATGATTTTTGCAAAGTTCCTACAACAAGCTGAATTTCCAGCAATAGGGTCTCGATTTAAAACATACACTGAGAGAAATTAACTTATCCAATGGAACTGAAAATTTACAGGTTTGTATCCCTATATGTTAGCTTCACATAGATCCAAACCTCACTCAATTTAGAGCTCTGAAGCTCGAGATATCGCAATTTTACTAAACTAGGTCGCTGTTGTCTCGCGAAGTATTTGATTACTGCCTTTTTCTAGGAAGTATTCGAATACTTCTCGAAAAGTATTCGAATACTTCTTCGACAGAATGCAAAAAACTGAGTTTTAAAGGTAAAATCGACCTCCAATGATCCAAACTCGATCTGGAGTCCAAGAACTCCTTAAACAGATGTTTATTAACATGTTATGAACCCAGAAACACCTTCATTTTATCAAATGGTTCAAGTTACGATTTTTAATTGCTTAAATAAGCTTAAAACATCAAAATACACAAGGGTGATCATGGTATACCTTCCAATGCACCAAAACTTCGAAAATGAGGTAACTTGGAGCCCAAACTCAGCTCCAAGGTTCTGACTTGGTTCAAAAATGAAAGTGGCACACCAAGCTTGGTCCTTTAAGCCAAAAGATCACTTCTTGGCACCACAAATGACATGAACAAAGGTTTAACCCTCACAACTCAGAATCACAGCTCCTTAAGCCCCACAAATGCTGAACCTAAACTCAGAAAGAGGTTCCCTACTCACCACCAAGGCCAACCCTTACTCACTCAAGTGTTTGGGAGAAGATTCAATGAAGAACAAGGAAGAAAAGGCCACTTGGCTCACAAGGTGCAAGGTGACCAGTACCAAAGGGCTTATCAGCCTCCAAAGGTCACGTAAGAATAGAATAACCTAGGGTTTTGAGCCCAAAAGTCATATATATAGCTCACTTAACATCAAACACACAATATTAGCAAAAATAGCTACGCTTAGCATTTTACTCCCAAACTTAGGATTCTGAACCTACTCAATTTTACAAGATTTATCATATTTTTCTTATATTTTTCGCAGCACCTTTCTGGTACGCCCTTTTCATAGCCAGTATTAGTTTCTGGCACCAGTTCTCATTTTTTAACCTGAAACTTGTTTTACAAGTCCTATATATTATTCTAGGAATATTCATGCACTTATTATAATTTTCCGGGATACTTCATCGGTACGCATTTATATCGAGTAGCAGAACCGGTATCCGCATTTTTCGTCCGAAAAGCGATTTTCAACATTATTACACACTTACTATAATTATTAGAGCCTCAAAATAATTATTAGGGTCAATTATGTAATTATCTCATAATTATCTAATTAATTTCCTTAATTAGCGGTGCAGGTTCTTACAGTGCATATTAAAAGTTGGAGCCAACCTTTAATAATTATTTATCCTTTGTTTACGGTGCATATTAAAAGTTGGAAGCCTTTATCTTTTTTTAAAGTACAGACCATCGTTTTAACCTTTTGTCAGTAAAGACTTTGTTCTGAAAGTTGAAAGTTCCATAAAACGCTAGAGTGAGGATTATTGGAGAAGATCTGAATCGGTGCTTCATCTCCTCCACCGTCTTGTAGCTCTTCCAGTACTTGTGAGCGAAGCGAGCGAAGGAGAGAGCATGGCGGCTTTGCCCGGTCACCTGGAGGACC